CGTTTTTCAAGGTGGAGCCAAGAAGAAATACGGGCCGGGAACAAATTCGACTGGGACATTTATCGAACTTCTCCGGACAACCCAGCCCCTGCATCAGTCTAATCGAAGGAAAACTGGGAATTCTGTCACTCCTGGACGAAGAATCGCGGTTGCCCTATGGGTTCGGATGAACAGTTTGGTTACCCAAGTTGCATCTGAATTTTGCCGCAGACAAACAGAAGTTCTACAAAAAACCTCGGTTCGGAAAGTCTTCTTTCACTGTTTGCCATTATGCTGTTGATGTCACGTATGAATCCGATGGGTTTATTGAAAAGAACCGAGACACGGTTCCTGATGAGCAGATGGGAATCCTCAAGAATTCCTCTAATAGCTTCGTGAGAACAGTGTTAGAAGCAGCCTCTGCCGTTCGTGAGAAGGATTCTGCATCCGTCGCTTCCCGAGCGGTTGCGGCTCCCGGAAGGAAAATCGGAGTTGCAGTCAACCGTAAACCTACTCTTGGAGGTATCTTCAAATCGTCGTTGATTGAACTAATGAACACGATCAACTCAACTGACGTTCACTACATCCGATGCATCAAACCAAATGAGGGTAAGGAGTCATGGAAATTCGAGGGACCCATGGTTCTCAGTCAGCTTCGAGCTTGTGGTGTTCTCGAGACCGTTCGAATCAGCTGTGCTGGCTACCCAACGCGCTGGACATATGAAGAATTTGCACTTCGGTATTACATGCTCTGCCATTCGTCGCAGTGGACATCAGAAATCCGAGAAATGGGCCATGCTATCCTACGAAAAGCACTTGGCGATGCCAGCCACCAAAAGGGAGACAAATATCAACTTGGCTTGACGAAAATCTTCTTCCGTGCGGGTATGCTCGCTTTTCTCGAGAATCTTCGCACTTCAAGGTTGAATGAATGCGCCATCATGATTCAGAAAAACTTAAAATGCAAATATTATCGACGAAGATATCTGCAGGCACGGGAAGCAATCCTTACTACCCAAAGCCTAATGCGAGGTTTCATTGCACGGAAATACGCCAATGAGGCTCGTAGGATCAAAGCAGCGACCACCATACAGCGAGTCTGGAGAGGCCAGAAGGAGAGGAAGCGGTATCTTGCAATTCGACGGAATGTTATCCTTTTCGAATCTCTTGCGAAGGGCTACCTATGCAGAAGAAACATTATGGATACAATTCTTGGCAACGCAGCCAAAATCATTCAGCGGGCTTTCCGATCATGGCGACAGCTCCGGGCCTGGAGACAGTACCGCAGGAAAGTCGTTACCGTGCAGAATCTTTGGAGAGGTAAAACTGCTCGTCGAGAGTATAAGAAGCTGCGAGAAGAGGCTAGAGATCTTAAGCAGATTTCGTATAAACTTGAAAACAAGGTCGTCGAACTTACTCAAGCCCTTGGTTCCCTGAAGCAACAGAACAAGACATTGGTTTCACAAGTTGAGAATTATGAAGGCCAGCTCAAACATTTGCGAGGAAAGAACAATACTTTAGAAGCACGTACCCGAGAGCTACAAGCTGAAGCTAACCAGGCCGGTATCACTGCTGCACGCCTAGCAGCGATGGAGGAGGACATGGCGAAACTACAACAAGGTCACACTGAGGCGCTATCTACCGTGAAAAAGCTTCAAGAAGAGGAGCGTATTGCTCGGGAGTCCCTCCGAGGCGCAAACTTAGAGCTTGATAAACTGCGGCAAACAAATTCCGACAACGAGAGTGACAAGGCATCACTACGCCAACAAATTGCCGATCTTCAAGATGAACTCGAATTCGCCAAGAGGTCGATGCCTGTCAACGGTGCTGTTAATGGAGATATGAACGGGACTGCCAACCAGGCTACCTTTTCTGGTCTTATTAACTTAGTTTCCTCAAAGAAACCAAAACCTAAGAGACGCAGCGCAGAGGCTGGCCGCACTGACGTCGACCGCTTCAGCGGCGCTTATAACCCTCGTCCAGTGTCGATGGCAATTCCCAGTAGTACAGCTCGGTCTAACCTATCAGGATCCACCTTCGCTCCGGGTATCGATTCGATCGAAATTGAGCTGGAAAATCTACTTTCTGATGAAGAAGAGCTCAACGAAGAGGTTACAATGGGCCTTATTCGTAACCTCAAAATTCCCCTTCCTAACTCAAATACTCCTCCCACCGAAAAAGAGGTTCTGTTCCCTGCCTACCTCATCAACCTCGTTACGTCCGAGATGTGGAACAATGGTTTCGTGAAAGAATCG